GTGTGTGGTTGTGTGTGCGTGTGCGTGTGCGTGTGTGTTGGTGCGTGTGCGTGTGCGTGTGCGTGTGCGTGTGCGTGTGCGTGTGTGTGTGTGTGTGTGTGTGTGTTCGTGTGTGTGCGTGTGTGTGCTTGTGTGTGTGCGTGTGTGCGTGTGTGTGCGTGTCCGTGTGCGTGTCCGTGTGCGTGCGTGTTTGTGCGTGTGTGTGTGTCTATGTGTGCGTGTCCTTGGGCCTTTTGATGCACGCCCTCCGCCGCCTTGGTGGTGCGCGCGCGCGCTGCGGCCCCCCGGCGGCTGGCAGCCCTGCCTGCGCCCGGCCGGGCAGGGCTGCCAGGGCCTGCCGCGAGCTCGCGGCCGCCGCGGCCCGCCGCTGCCGCGGCCGACCGCGCTGCCGCTGCCGACCGCTGCCTCGGCAGACGCTCGGAGGGAGGAGAACCGAATGATAACAGTGATAGTATGAAGAATAAGAAGAATAGAAGAAGAAGAAAAAGAAGAATACTAATAAGAAGATGAAGAAGAACAAGGAAATATAACAATAATGACAAGAAGAAGCGACTGCCACAAACCTACTTGTGGCGCTCCGCGCGGGTTTCTGGGATCCGCGCTGCCGCCCCCCCCCAGCGGCGCCTCCGGCGCCGCCCCTGGCGCGCGGAGCGCGCCAGGGCGGGGGGGCCAGCGCAGATTCAAGAAGTCCAACCTGAGCGTCAGCAGTCTGTGTCTGTGGCGTTTTTTCTTCTTCTAGAGAGGGGACCGACACCGCTGCTCGTTCTGGAGATCTCTCGAGCGCGCCCCAGGAGGTCCAGGAGAATGGCGGTATCGGTACCTTTTTGTTTCCCCAGACGCGGCCGCGGCGGCGCCGGCGCCGCCGTCGCCGCCGCGACAAGGAAATCGGCAGCCGACGAACCTGCACATAATAGGTTGAATAAGCTGCTCCGCCGTTGGGGACGCCTGTCCCAGGGCGGCTGGAAGGCGTATGCCCCGACGGAGGCACGGCCACGTTGGGGTATAAACTGTCCTGCCTTCTGGGGCTTGCAGGCGTGCCCGATGGCGGAGCAGTTTTTGTCTGAGGTGCTCGCCAGCTCAGGAAAGGCGGGCGAGGGGTCGTGGGATGGGAGGGTCGGCAATTTCGGGGGTGGGGCAGCGCGGATTTTTGGGTTGCGTGCAATATGTCGGCGGCGAGCCTGGAAGGGAGCGAGAAGGGGCGGGCCTTCTCAGAAGGCTCAAAGCTTCCCGACCTTCTGAGAAGTTTCCTGAGCATTCTCCGAAGACGCAGGAAACTTCTATCCGGAGGCGCGAAGATTTCTGGGAAGTCCCGCCGCCTTCTGACAAGGCCTTGTCCTTCTCACCCCCTCCCTCGCTCGCCGCCGATATCGGGCTGCATGCAATCTGTGCTGGGTGCTTGTCTGCGTATATTGCAAGAGTGTGCTCAGATACTTGCTTTGCTTACACGAGGGCAGCGCCCTCTGCCGCTGCCCTCCCTCCTCCTCCTCCTCCTCCTCCTCCTCCTCCTCCTCCTCCTTCTCCCCCCCTACTCCCCCCTCCCCCCTCTCCTCCTCCTCCTCCTCTCCGCCTCCTCTCCTCCTCCTCCTCCTCCTCCTCCTCCTCCTCCTCCTCCTCCTCCGCCCTCCTCCTCCTCCTCCTCCTCCTCCTCTCCTCCTCCTCCTCCTCCTCACTCTCCTCCTCCTCCTCCTCCTCCTCCTCCTCCTCCTCCTCCACCTTCTTCCCCTCCTCCTCCGCCTCCTCCTCCTCCTTCTCCTCCTCCTCCACCTCCTTCCCCTCCTCCTCACGCGCCTCCTTCCTCCTCCTCCTCTCTTCTCCTCCTCCTCCTTACTTCTCCTTCACACCCCTCTCCTCCTCCTCCTCTCCCCTCCTCCTGCCTCCTCCTCTCCTCCTCCTCCTCCGCATCCTCCGACCCTCCTCTCCCCTCCTCCTGCTCCTCCCCCCCCTCCTCCTCCTCCTCCTCCCTCCTCCTCCTCCTCCTTCTCCTCCTCCTCCCTCCTCCTCCTCCTCCTCCACCGTCCTCCCCCTCCTCCTCCTCCTCCTTCCTCCTCCTCCTCCTCCTCCCTCCCTCCCTCCTCCCTCCTCTCCTCCTCCTCCTACTCCATCTCCTCCCCTCCCTCCCCTCTTATTCCTTCCTCTCCTACACCCTCCTCTCCTCCCCTTACTCTCCCTCCTCCTCCTTCTCCTCCTCCTCCTTTCTCCTCATCCTCTCCTCCTCCTCCCTCTCCCCTTCGTCCTCCCTCCTCACTCTCCTCCTCCTCCTCCCCTCCCCTCCTCCTCCCCCCTCCTCCCGCCTCCTCCCCCTCCCTCTCCTCCTCCTTCTCCCTACTCCTCCTCCTCCTCCTCCTCCTCCTTCCCCAGGCTCAGCCATCCCGTGGCTGTGCTGGAGCACTCTCGAAGCCATCTTGGGGCCTCTCGGGGGCATCTTAGGGTCTTGTCGGGCGGGTCCCTCTACCGGTGGACGTTTCGAGAGCAGGCAGAGAAATAGTCTGGGGGCGATTTGTCGTGCCTGTTGGACATGTTTTGATTCTCTCCCTCTTTTTTTCCTCCGTCTCTCTCTCTCTATATATATATGGGTGTATTCCAACATTCGCCTGTAAGAGGACATGCCCGACCTAATCCTTTGGTTGTCTTGGGCAATCCTGGAATATCTCGAGGCCTCTCGGGCCCAGCTTGAATGCATCTTCGGGTCATCTTGGGGCCCTGCCGAGCCGAGCATGTCCGGCTGCATCGGAAGCTCTCTCCGCGCGCTCCGTCGCTCGCGCGCGCTTGGCCACCGTGGCAGAGGGCGGCATCGCCGCCGCCACCCCTGACGCCTACCCCCTCACCAGGAAGACGCAGCATGAAGAATACAGTCGGGGCGTTGACCTGAGGAACCCTAAATAAGGAACGAGGCCCCTTGTTTCCATAAGTTAAACTTCGATTCCCTATCGAAGACATAAGGAAAACCTGAGGCAAGCTGTGAAACACTTAAGGAACGCGGAGCCCCTCCCCAACCAAAAGGGTTCCTTCTTCAGGGCCCCGACTGTACGATAACGCGTAGGAGGGCGACGGCGCCCCCGCGGTCGCGACGCTGCTCGTCGGCGTCGCGTCGTAGTCTCGCCTTGAGCGTCATGCTGTGCGCTTTTTGTACCCGGTGGTCTGCACCGCCGCCAGCTTCGCCTGCGCCTGCGCCCAGGGTGTCGACGACGAAGACACACGGGAGGATAGACGGACCGTACGGAGGCAGAGGGCGAGGATGGCAGGCTCTAGCGGCGACGCCGCGGGGGAAGTGAGAGGGAGAGAAGGCCTAGGTCCAAGATGTGGACGGAGAGGATGCATCACAGCAAAGAGCGGCGACGCGCGACTCTCCCGCTGTGCCCCCCCTCATTCCAGGCAGGAAAACCGCCCAGACGTCGACAATTGGCGTTTACTGGACGGCCCTGGGCGTTTACTACACAGCCCTGCCCTGTTCGATTCCTTCTTTGGGTGCATTTACTGAACGGCTTCACTTGTCGGGGTGTTGCAGTGGAGACTCATGCCAAGAAACACTCTGCTTGCCTCCAGGGTGCCCTGGGTCTCTCGGGTTTCGATGTTTTTGCTGTGGGAAGCGTAACGCTCCCACACCAGAAATCGATGGACGTCCTGGGGTCTCAGGGTTGGGCTTCTTGTGGAAGGTTTCTCGTGGACTGGCCTCCACTGTATTAGGGGGGGGCATTTGTTGCTCTCTGCTCCTCCCCCCCCGCCTGGCGCAGGCGAAGTCCGAGGGCGTGCTGTTCCCCAGCCTCCTCTGGGTGCTGTGCGCCGGCCGGGCCACACCACGAGACCACGAGCCGGCGGAGGGTCGGCAGGGGGGGGCGGCTGTGGGAGGGCTGGCGGAGGGCCTTCGGGGGAGGAGGAGGAGGAGGAGGGCTGGCAGCGGTGGGCCTTCGGGGGAGGAGGAGGAGGAGGAGGAGGAGGAGGAGGAGGAGGAGGAAGAGGAGGAGGAGGAGGGGGAGAAGGAGGAGGTTTGATTGGGACTGGCCTGAAGCTAGGGATCTAAGATCAGACAAACTCGGACGCGTCCGAGTCCGTCTCCTCTTGGAGGGACGCTCTTGGACGGGTCAGGGCCCAGCCTGGGTCACGAAGTGTGTGGGATGCGTCCAGCCACCAGCCAAGTGTAAGCTCCGACCTTTGGGGACTCGGGAAAGCTTCCTATTCACAGGGGGCAAGCACTCACTTTTTAACCATTCGGACTCCTTATCTTTAGATGTCGAGCTGAAGCACACCGAACACGCTCTGCCATTGTCGGTCAGGGTGCGGGCAGTCGCACACCGTGCAAGAGCCTTGGAAGGGGGAGGCCGAGGGGCGGGAGGACCCACAGGAGCACCCGAAGGCCCATCAGACTCCTGGGACCCTTGGGAAGCAACAGTAGATTCAAGCCCTACTCTGAGAAGACGCCTCCTAACCAACCGTGCCTTGCGCTCAATTCGGTGCAATCTATATATATATATATATTTCTGCCGATGTCTGGAACTCTGGCCCTATCAGCCGCAGCTCCTGCTAAAACGTCGACGCACGCACTACCTTGAATGAGCCAGCTGTCCCACCCTTGCTCGACAATATCTTGTGCAGTGAGGTGGGACGGAATTTGAACCATTGAGCCATCAGTCATACTGCGGCCTTGATCTTCGAGAGTGGCCCCGATCCTACGCCATACATCCGCCTGAGGGCCAGAGGGCCTCTTGGGGGCTCATGCACCATTCAAAAGCCTGGAGCTCCCCCCTGGGGACCGACTGAGTCGGCCCCACGAGGGGCCCCAAGAGATGGGCTCCCAGGACACACGGCGAACAACTTTGGAAAACAGCCACCGCACTGCCTACGCGACGGAGCCTGCAGTCGTGGGTATTTTTACCCCCCGAGGCGTCCCCGAAAACCAAGAGAGGGGAGCTGACACTCCCCTGGCCCAGGCACCCAGGGCCAAGATGACCATGGACCAGGTTCCCTCCGAGGCAACTCTCATCCGACGCTGGGGCTGTGACTCTTGTCCAGGCACTGGGGGTGACGCCTCGCACCCAGAAGCATGGAACAGTTTTTGCAGCCACTGTTTCGCACACCAGTTCGTCTGACTGCATGTACGCTGGCGAGCCTCTGTTTTTCTCTCACAGCCAGTTGCGGTGAAGAGGTGTGTCTGGCCCCTCTCCGCACCGCACACAGACGTCCGACTGCACCAGCTTGGCATCCAGTTTCCTCTGCTGCGTCCAGTACCCGCCCGTGGCGATCGTGACCATGAGCTCCGATAGCTGACGACCTCGCTTCGCATGCAAGAGCGAAGCAACGAACGACCTGCAGCTCAACCAATCTGCCCCCTGCCCCAACCCACCGCCACAGAAAAAGGTCCGACGCCTCCTGCCACAGCTGCAAGTACAGGGTGTCCTCGAATTCTTTGAAAAGAGGCTGCGCCTGGTCAAGGCCAACAGCAGCAGCCGTCGAGAAACCCCACGCGCGCTCCATGTTGCCCCCGTCTCTCGGCACCTGCCACTCCGTCGCTGACTTCAAACGCCACCCAGCTTGTAACAAAGACAGCACCACAGAGGACAATTGACCTCTCACATGACGACTTCACTGGTTCTTTGGAACGTCCTGGAGGGCTACAACCGTCCTGCCCCACGCCAATCTCACTGAAGATCGAATCCGTGGTGCCCGAAGCCAAAAGTCCAGCCATTGGCTGAGAGACATGCGGGGTAGGGCAACTCCTGGGTCGGCTCTTGGGAGGCGAAGTGCTAGAAGTGATGTCAAGCACCTGCCCCGCTTGGCTAAGCCAGCCGCGGCGCCCAGTCTTCATCTGTGACTGAGCATCACGGAACCGAAACAGCCCAATATTTGATGACCATACGATGCAGAAGCTTGTGGACCCATCCTCTAGATCTTACTCGTGGGCGTCCACTTCCTTGCTGCAGTCGCGAACGTGCGAAGACGATCATGAGCAGCACCTGACTTCTTCACCCGTTTGCGCGTTGTGTCGCGCCCATGTCGTCGCCACCCCCCAGCCAAGTCGACGCCTAGGTAGGCTGACTGGAGTGCGGATTTGATCTCGATGCCGCGCCGCCGCAGCTGTCGCGAGATGCAGACTGCACCCTGGCGGCGCGAGCACACAACCGCACTCTTGGCCGCGATGCTAAGGCGAAGCTTGCCAAACTCTTCCCCCGTCGTGGACGCAGTATGGACTAGAGTATCGCGGACGTGGCCGCGACTGCCAGATAATCTCTCTAGCAAGTCGTCGACCCAAATGCTCTCCGACATCGCGCTGCGTGGTATGGCTAGCTTCTCGCACGCGACCGCTGTGGGACACTTCGCGAACCTAGTCCCACTTCTCGATCCTTGAATCACGGACTTGGTTGCCTGGAACGGCAAAGAATACAAGTCCAAGTGAGATAGCAACCCCGGCGCCATGAAGAGGTGGATCTCCAGGAACAGCACCGCGGGCGGGTGACCCTTCCCGATCTTGCACTCCGCCAGGATGGGCCACTCGATGCCGTCGTAGAAGTCCTCGACGTCGAGCCGCGCCTGCCCGTGGGGCAGCCGCAGGGAGATCTGGACCTCGTCCTCCAGAGCCCTGACGAAGGCCTCGAAGGCCTCCCTGAGCGCGCTGTTCCCTGAGATGGCCGCGTCCCAGTAGTCGTCCTGCTGGTCGGCCCACTCGCGTGCGATGGGCTCGCGCGCATGGGGCCATGCTCTGCGCGGCATGCCCAGCGGGCCGACGCGCCTGTCGCCGCCCGGCTTCTTCCCGAGCAGCCGCCCGAGTACGCATTGTAGTTGCCGAGGCCAGCTTAGGCCTTGCTCGATCATGGTGAACAGCTCGCTGGGATCTTGGATCGCTTGGCTGGAAGCCCAGCGAAGTCGAGCGGCGATGCCTCGTCCAAACATTGCCCCGCGCGGGGCTTCATCTTACCCAGTGCAATCCTGATCTCCTCGACGGACAGAGGCTCCATCTGCTCAACGAGAGCGTGCTCGCGAATAAGATCACGCGCCTCCATGAATTCGTCGTGACCAGAGACCTCCGAAGACCAAAGACTATGCAACTTACCAATTTTAGCACCGACGATCTCCATCGGGTGAATCAACTTCTGACCGTTGACATGATATCCATCCTGTTCTGGAGCCTGGTCCTTGATGGACCTGTGGATGGCTCCCAGACTGCCGATCGATCCCATCCAACCTTGACATTCTCGAAGAGATGCCGTCGCCGCCCAGCTCTGAGCCTGACGCGCAGACGTGACCGCCGCCTCCTCCATCTAACTGAGCTCGTCAACGCTGAGCTCCTGAAGACGCTTGAGGCCAGACGGAAATGAGGACCATGTGGCTCGAGCCGTGGCCGCAAAGTTGCTTCCTGCTCCGTCCAGGGATTGATCGACTAGGTTCTGAGCCGCCCTCGCCAAGTGCAACGCTTGCAGCTCGCCATTGCGTCGCCGCCTGTGTCGGCACGCTTGCTTCAAGATATAATGACTCCGACGACACCACGTAGCAACGCCGTCGTGCAAGGGCTGGCCCCTGGCGTGGCATGCCTCTTTGACTGGCATGACCTCCAGCGTGCAATCATCAGCTCTGGACTGCGTTGGCGGCGCCAGCCCATGATTCGCCCTGTCGACGGTGGCGACCCACCTACCGAAACATCCACAGATGGGCAGGGCGTGTTGCTGTCCTGCCCGATGTGCAAGTGAGTGCCTGATGGGTTCCAGACCTCGTGGTGAGTGTAGGTGTGCCAGGGGGCTTGGGCCGAGCAGGTTGCTCAAACGGAAGGGGGAATAGACGCGGTGGGAAGGGCGGGGACATCGGCACCAGCAGAAAGGAGATGACCGACCTGCCCCCAGAACGCTCGGCAGTGGGGACAGCCGGAATATCCCTCACACTGATAGCACTCAAGGCCTGCGCATTATGCTCGAGACTGTTGTCATCAGCACCTTCGCTGACCGACGGGCCGACCGACGAATCGACGATACCTGGACGCACAAACGCATCAGGATTGGCTGGCTTGAAACACGACTCGTCAGCCCACGGATCCTCCTCTCCAACCTCCCCCCACGCTCCGGGATCGAACAAATCCCCGAGGGCCTCGCGGCCGTCGTTGGGCCCAGGCGGGCCAGGGGCATGCGGCGGGCCAGGGGGGTCGGGGCCCTCGGGGCCGAGATCGCCAGAGGGGCCAGCCCTGGAAGGAACAACATTTGAAACAAAGTCGTCGCAGTCTGCACAGATCCTCTCTGTAACAGGCTGAGATCGAGCCTGCTGCTCCGCCCGCGCCTTATTCGACTCGAACCCGCCACTGGGCTGAGGCTTGGTCGTGGGACCTGCGGCAAGCGCGGGGCGGTGACGAGAGAGCGCTGGGACAACTGCCCCCCTGAACCGTGCATTGTGAGCTCGAGGCCTACATGAGGGCCCCAGGGAACATCCGACCGCGCCTCGAGAGACTTGATACAAGACAAATAACTCTCGGACGCCAGAGCCAAGTCAATGAGATAACTAATTGCGCCCCCGACGCATGTGTAGCTCACACCGCGCTATCGCCTATCACGAACCAGGGAAGCTGGAGCATCTGCAACAACGCTCCGAGTTTTCCGAACCTCTCAACGCTTGCGCCCCTGACTCCGATCGAAGGGTGCGCATGGAACACAATGAAAACAAATGAATGGCCTTTGCAGCCAACGCAATGGTTGGCAGGAAGCCATCTAGCGCCTCGGCGCCATCTGAGCTTTGAGACGCCGCTTCGGATGCCTTGCTGAACAGACGTGCCACTTGTCGGTGCCCTGGCGCCCACGGCCCCTC